GTTTACCATGGAAGTAAAAAAAAACATCCTATATACCATTCGATCAGTTAACAACTATAGTTTATTTTTTAAAAAATCATTAAAAGTAATTATAAATTACTTTTGGATTTAACTTGGATTTAACTTTTCATTTTAAACGATTTTTTTTCTTTGCTTTCTATCAATTGATTTTAGTTTTCTATGTATTTGTTCTGCTAATTCATTATTATTTATTTATTTTACAGGACCTTTAAGGAAAGCAGTATTTATTATTGATATGCATATCCTGCATAAATATTAATAAATAATATTAATAATAATAACAACAATAACAATTACTATTACAAAAAAATATAACATGAAGGTATATTGCCTAAAGGCAATATAACTTCATGTTATATTTATTGTATATTTTGCATACCTTATTGTATACCAATATATCTGCATGTTATATTTATCAATTGATTTTTTAAAGCTTTTATTACATTGATTTTAAAAAGCAAGTAATAATAATAAAAAAAAACAGATTTGAATAAGCTTTTTTTCTGTTTTTTTTTATTACTTGCTTTTTAAAATCAATGTAATAAAAGCTTTATAAAATCAATTGACTCTTATTTTCTCATTGCCTAAATCGTCATGAACGATGTTTCAAAATCGAAAAGGCGTGAACACCTTTGATTTTTAATCAGGCTAAAAAATGTTATAGTATTTCTAAATTATGTCGCCATGTCAAAAAAAAAAAAAAGACAAAATATTAAGCTTGTTTTTTTTGTTTGACGTCAGGAGTTATGCTTTTAGATGTACTTGTCTCTATTATTGCAACAATTGCAATGCTTTTGTTTAGTTCACAAAAGTATAATTAAGACAGAAATAGCGAAAAAAAAAAAATTGATATCATCTGTAATGTAGATTAGGTATTTTAGTAAGATTTTTAAATTTAACTGAATGGTTAAATATACTACTAAGATAGGCTAATATGCTGTTAGCAAATAGACAAAACGGATCAGTTTTATTTATAAACTTAAATATATGTAATTGAAGTAAAAAGAGTTTTAAAAAAAATACAAGCCTATCTTTATATTTTAGATGTATTGCATATACATAAAACATATATGCTTTGTTGTTCTACGTAATTGGAGATCGTAAATCGGTTCCAGTAAAAAATCCTCCAAAATAAATCCTCCGAAAGAAATTCTCTGGGAAAAAAATCCCCTCTTCTCAACAACAACAACAAAAAAATATGATATTAGATACACTAGAAATTTCAATAACTACTTTATTAATTTTTGGAACTTTTAGACTTATAGAACACCGTTACTTCATGTTCAATCCTAATAGATTTTCATAACTTGAATAAAACATATATTTTTAATTAATTAGACTGTCTAGCCAAACTAAAACCCTTATTCGATGTATGTAAATTACACTGAGCCTATTCAGTCGATGGACGATTGATTGATTGGTATGCACCAAAGCAGGAAATAATTCGTAAGCATTATTTTCTGCTGCCCACACAAAGCTTGTTGTTTTATATTTTAAATAACTTTAGGCATTCTTAAACTATCATTCAAACTTTAACTAAATGCAAAAAAATTCGATTCGTTTATATTTAACAAAACAAGGCAAAATGTCTTAAAACGAATTTGACGAAACTGACATAGAAACTAATTGCGAACTTTGACAAATCATTTTAGGATAAGTTGTGGCGCTTTTTTTACTATTTTAACATATTTATAAGATTACAAATTATTAATAGTTTTTGCAAACGTAGCAACTTGCTTTTTATTCTGCAGGTGTAGCCTGTAATTATAATTTTAATAAATATTTAAAGTTGTATTTTTATTTATTATAGAAGAAGTTTTTCATTTCAAAAACACGTTATGAATATGACTTTGAATCCGTTTGAGAAAACAAATAGTTTAAATCTGGATATATATATATATATATATATATATATATATATATATATATATATATATATATATATATATATATATATATATATATATATATTTAAGTAGACCACACTGGTAAAACCACAGATGAAACATTTTTCTCATTTTGAGAAAGATGAAATTTAGTATTTAGTGACATTAGATATCTGTTTATTAATAATTTGTTTAATTAAAAGTATATTTTTCTGACATTTTAGTACTTATACAATATAAAAACGCAGTTTTTGTGCTAAATACAAGTACTATTTATTCGCAGTGTTCTTTTGAAAACTAGACACTTATTTTGGACATCTGTGGTTTTTCCATTGTAAACTCATTAAGTCATAAATTACGTTAGCTTGTAACCTTTTGGAGCACTTTTTTAAAGGTAGATGGTAACACATTGTAATATACAACTACAACGTACTAAGTGTGTGATGAGATAATAAAGCCATCCCCCCCTCATTTAATAAAAAAAATTTAAACAAAATATTATATGAAAGTTTTTTTTAACTTTATACAAAACAGCATTGCAACCTTATCTCTTCCCCAACCTCATCTATTTACCACAGATGATTCCATAATGTCTGTACTCCATCACTTTATATCAAGTTTGTATATATATACAAATCAAATCATTAACAATTAAGTCATAACTAAAGTTAATGTATAGGCTTAAAGTTGTTAACTGTTGTACGCAAACTAAATATGAAAAATATCCAGAGATATTAAATTTAAAAATTATAAAACCAAGAATAACGTCCCTCTGCCTCAGAAAGATGGAATATTAGAAAGCTCTACATAAGTAGAATATTAATTCTAGTAACATCACTTTTTGTACACTGTTTTAATATGTTAGTAGATGGGGTTTCACAATCAAACACATAAAAAACCAAACAAAAGAGACATATTCAAAATGTAAAATATCAGCTTCTAACAACTTCAATGCCACATATATATTATTGATACCTTTAATTATTAAAGTTTAATAATATATCTTATAACAGCTACTAAATATATCTTATAATAGCTACTAAATATATAATCTAAACTATTATAAATAAATTATAAAAAAAAACTTATACTGAATGACATTTTAAATGTTTGATTTATTTAATAAAGAAGACATTTAAAATGTCTTCTTTATTAAATAAATCGAACATTTGAAATGTTACATTTATTTAATATAGATAATTAAATAAATCAAACATTTGAAATGTCCATACAGCAATAAAAATAAAAATATAACTTTAAGATCTTACACAAAAATAATTTGATTATTGCCTTTATTATTACATTAATAATTTAGATTGTAGTAAAAAAATTTTTAAGCATATTATTTAAATGTTAACAAATATTTCATTATTTAAAAAAAATATATCAAGTCACAAGAATCTCTTGAAATTTATTTCTTATAAGGAATCTTTTAAGATTCTTAGAAGATTCATAAATATACCTTCTTTTTTATTTATTTTTATAATTTAAAAAAATGGAAAGATAATGTCAAAACCTTTTTTTATTTTGTCAAACGATACCATTTTTAAAAATTTTTGCAACAAATTTAAAAATATATACTAATCCGCAACTACATTGGCCGAATATTGGCTACGTAATATTTGTAAGAACAGCAAAATATTAAGCCTAAACTGCATTGGTCAAATGTTTGCCCAACGTAGTACGATAATTGCAAAAAATTGATTTGTAGAATTGCAATATTACGCCGGAAAAAAAGCATTGGCTAAATGTTGGCCCAATATAGTACGATATTTGGATAAAACCGATTTGCAGAATTGAAAATAATACGCCGAAAAAAAACATTGGCTAAATGTTGGCCCAACGGAATAAGCTTGCCAATGTTAAAACTTACGTTGGGCCAATGTAAGCTTGCTGTCTGGGTTTCAAACGTTTAGGCATATATTTTTTTTTGAAATCGAAGCAAACTACTTCACAATTGAAAAGATTAGAATCAGAATATTATTGAGTCCATTTTCTACTTTTTTAATACAAAAGGTACGCCTCATAAATTAAAATAAAAGTTGAAATAATTTAAGAAAAACTTTTTGTTATTATAAAAAAAAACTTATTTTATATATATATATATATATATATATATATATAAAGTAAGTTTATATATATATATATATATATATATATATATATATATATATATAAAGTAAGTTTATATATATATATATATATATATATATATATATATATATATATATATATATATATATATATATATATATATATATATATATATATATATATATATATGCAACCCCCTCAAATTGAGGTGGGTTTAAACTTTATAAGGTCATAATTTTTTAACGCTAAAATATTTTACTATGAAATTTAAAATTTCTCGATGAATATAAGTCTAGTTAAAAATAATATAAAAAATATTTCATCAAATTGTTGCTGTCACGTTTGGGGCAGGGGGGTTAAGATTTTAGAATTTCTTGTTCCCATTATCCTATCACAGTAATTTTTTTTAAAGAATCTTTTTGTCATACATATGAACGTAAACATTTTTTTCTGCTGCCCACACAAATCTTGTAGCTTTATATTTTAAATAACTCTAGTCATTCCAAAACTATCATTCAAACTTAAACTAAATGCAAAACAATTCGATTTGTTTATATTTAACAAAAATTAGGTTCAAACGCTTTATAAAAAAATAGTTGGTTCTTTATTTTTTATGCATCATTCTTTAAAATAAAAAAATCAGTAGATAAAACATTTTTTCGCGTTTTTGATCTGAAAACTATTTATTTAGTGATATTTAAATTTTTTTATTACGCGACGATTTGTTTAGAGTCTATATCAGGATTTTAATTAAACAAAGTAAGTTTAACGTGCAAAATTACTCCGCGTTATGAGAAAATTTATACTTACGTATAAAATTACAGTACGTAGTTAAAGTAGTAATACAAAACCCCTTGAGAATTATAACTAAGGTCCTTTAATCCCTTATGTAAAATTATATGTTCAGCATTTCTGTTTTTTAAGTCGTTTATGACGAACTTAAGTTCGTCATAAATGACTTTTTGATTTTAATCGATTTAATGTTAATAAAACCAATTATTACTGACGCAAAAACCAACAGTGTATAAATAGCGATAAAATATGCTGAATTGTAAAATCTTAACCTTTTCTTTTAATAATAGTTTTCGAAAATGATGAAGAAAATTTCAATTATTCTTCTACTTAGTTTTGTATTTATAGACATTGAATTAACTACTGGTAAGTGTTGAAACAATGCAGAGAAATTAAATACTTTTTTGTTCAGAACATGTTTGTATATTCTGCTTCCTTTATTAAGATGGAGCCTATTAAAACTTCTTAAACTAAATTTTAATTCATTAAATTTTAAACTAGGTATACCGCTAATAGCACAAACATGTGAAGGGAACGATCTAAAAATTGATTGCAAAGGTAAAGGAACAATTGAATTGATTTACGCAAACTACGGAAGAACCTCATCTGGTATTTGCCCTGGTTCAATGGATTCGAATACCAAATGTGACAACCATCAAAATTCTTTACAAGTTGTTCGTAATATCTGTTCATCAAAATCTTCTTGTGTTATCAAAGCTGCTAATGCAGTGTTTGGCGATCCATGCGTAGGAACTTACAAATATCTCGAAGTTCAATATTATTGTTAGTATTTTGTACGACTACATTCAAGTCCTTTGCTACATTTCTTTGAGTTCATTTCTAGAAATATTATCTTTGAATATAAATTTTAAAACAGAATATTTATATTTAGGCAAACCTTTAACAGTGGTCCGATCATGTGAAGGAAGCGATCTTAAAATTGATTGTAAGGATGGAGGAACAATTGAAGTGGTTTACGCAAACTACGGCCGAACGTTATCAAGTATTTGCCCTGGTTCCAAGGATTCGAATACCAAATGTGACAACCATCAAAATTCTTTACAAGTTGTTCGTAATAGTTGTTCATCAAAAACTTCTTGTGTTATTAAAGCTGTTAATGCAGTGTTTGGCGATCCATGCGTAGGAACTTACAAATATCTCGAAGTTCAATATTATTGTTAGTATTTTGTACGACTACATTCAAGTCCTTTGCTACATTTCTTTGAGTTCATTTCTAGAAATATTATCTTTGAATATAAATTTTAAAACAGAATATTTATATTTAGGCAAACCTTTAACAGTGGTCCGATCATGTGAAGGAAGCGATCTTAAAATTGATTGTAAGGATGAAGGAACAATTGAAGTGGTTTACGCAAACTACGGAAGAACCTTATCAAGTATTTGCCCTGGTTCCAAGGATTCGAATACCAAATGTGACAACCATCAAAAATCTTTACAAGTTGTTCGTAATAGTTGTTCATCAAAAACTTCTTGTGTTATTAAAGCTGTTAATGCAGTGTTTGGCGATCCATGCGTAGGAACTTACAAATATCTCGAAGTTCAATATTATTGTTAGTATTTTGTACGACTACATTCAAGTCCTTTGCTACATTTCTTTGAGTTCATTTCTAGAAATATTATCTTTGAATATAAATTTTAAAACAGAATATTTATATTTAGGCAAACCTTTAACAGTGGTCCGATCATGTGAAGGAAGCGATCTTAAAATTGATTGTAAGGATGAAGGAACAATTGAAGTGGTTTACGCAAACTACGGAAGAACCTTATCAAGTATTTGCCCTGGTTCCAAGGATTCGAATACCAAATGTGACAACCATCAAAAATCTTTACAAGTTGTTCGTAATAGTTGTTCATCAAAAACTTCTTGTGTTATTAAAGCTGTTAATGCAGTGTTTGGCGATCCATGCGTAGGAACTTACAAATATCTCGAAGTTCAATATTATTGTTAGTATTTTGTACGACTACATTCAAGTCCTTTGCTACATTTCTTTGAGTTCATTTCTAGAAATATTATCTTTGAATATAAATTTTAAAACAGAATATTTATATTTAGGCAAACCTTTAACAGTGGTCCGATCATGTGAAGGAAGCGATCTTAAAATTGATTGTAAGGATGGAGGAACAATTGAAGTGATTTACGCAAATTACGGCCGAACCTTATCAAGTATTTGCCCTGGTTCCAAGGATTCGAATACCAAATGTGACAACCATCAAAATTCTTTACAAGTTGTTCGTAATATCTGTTCATCAAAATCTTATTGTGTTATCAAAGCTGCTAATGCAGTGTTTGGCGATCCATGCGTAGGAACTTACAAATATCTCGAAGTTCAATATTATTGTTAGTATTTTGTACGACTACATTCAAGTCCTTTGCTACATTTCTTTGAGTTCATTTCTAGAAATATTATCTTTGAATATAAATTTTAAAACAGAATATTTATATTTAGGCAAACCTTTAACAGTGGTCCGATCATGTGAAGGAAGCGATCTTAAAATTGATTGTAAGGATGGAGGAACAATTGAAGTGGTTTACGCAAACTACGGCCGAACGTTATCAAGTATTTGCCCTGGTTCCAAGGATTCGAATACCAAATGTGACAACCATCAAAATTCTTTACAAGTTGTTCGTAATAGTTGTTCATCAAAAACTTCTTGTGTTATTAAAGCTGTTAATGCAGTGTTTGGCGATCCATGCGTAGGAACTTACAAATATCTCGAAGTTCAATATTATTGTTAGTATTTTGTACGACTACATTCAAGTCCTTTGCTACATTTCTTTGAGTTCATTTCTAGAAATATTATCTTTGAATATAAATTTTAAAACAGAATATTTATATTTAGGCAAACCTTTAACAGTGGTCCGATCATGTGAAGGAAGCGATCTTAAAATTGATTGTAAGGATGGAGGAACAATTGAAGTGATTTACGCAAATTACGGCCGAACCTTATCAAGTATTTGCCCTGGTTCCAAGGATTCGAATACCAAATGTGACAACCATCAAAAATCTTTACAAGTTGTTCGTAATAGCTGTTCATCAAAATCTTATTGTGTTATCAAAGCTGCTAATGCAGTGTTTGGCGATCCATGCGTAGGAACTTACAAATATCTCGAAGTTCAATATTATTGTATGTATTTTTTAACAACACTACATTTAACTCTTTGCTACTTTAAATACAACGTGAACTCGTTCAAGAAATATTTTCTATGACTATAAATTTAAAGAAGAAATATTTAACTTTAGGTAAACCTTTTTTAAATGTTGCACGATCATGTGAAGGAAATGATCTTAAAATTGATTGTAAGGATGAAGGAACAATTGAAGTGGTTTACGCAAACTACGGCAGAACTTCGTCTGGCATTTGTCCTGGCTCCATGGATTCAAATACAAAATGTGACAACCATAAAAAATCTTTACAAGTTGTTCGTAACAGCTGTTCATCAAGAACCTCTTGTGTTATCAAAGCTGTTAATGCAGTGTTTGGTGATCCATGCGTTGGAACCTACAAATATCTCGAAGTCCAATATTATTGTAAGTATTTTAGCACAACATTCAAGTTCTTTGCTATATTAAACACGGGGTGAATTCATTAAAAAATATATTATCTATGAGTATAAACTTAATAAAATTTAAAAAGTGATTCAAGATAGATATTGTTATCTATAATCTTTTATAAAGAAGAAATGATTTCTCATTAGTATTGAAAGCGTTTTAGTTTTTAAGAGCTCAGTTAGTTTATGTAAATGAAGTTAATTTGTTTAATAATTTTATATAAAAATAATACTTATTAGGCAAACCACGATTACATGTTGTACAAGCTTGTGAAGGGACAGATCTTAAAATAGACTGCAAAGGAAATGGGAAGATAGAAGTGGTTTATGCCAATTATGGCAGAACCTCATCTGGCATTTGTCCTGGTTCTAACGATTCAAACATCAAATGTAATAATCAAATAAATACTTTGCAGATTGTTCGCAATAGTTGCTCAGCAAAATTTTCATGTGTTATTAGTGCTGCCAATTCAGTATTTGGTGACCCATGCGTAGGAACATATAAATATCTTGAAGTTAAATTTTATTGTAAACTATAAAAAAATAAATTTCTGTATTTTTAAAGTTTATTTTTAATAAATTATTTGTAATGAAAAAAAAAAAAAAAAAAAGAAAATTAAATAATTTTTTTTTCCAAGTTAATTTGATTTTTTTTTGTCCTGCAATGACTTTAGGCTCCAACTGGATATGTTAATTTAAAAGATTTTAAATTAATATATTCGGTGGCTATATAACAGAATTCTGATACTTGCTGGAGTAGCTCATTAACTTCTTATAGATTCAACCGTAACTAATGCGTGTTAATACTCTACGCATGTTCTGAAAAATACACGAATTTTGCGTTTTCATAAAAAGACCGTTTCATTGAATTTTTTTAACACAACAATAAAATGTCTAAAATTAAATGAAGTTTAAATTTTTTTAAATTACTACTGTTTATAAACATAAGTAATTTAAAAACAGTAGTAATTTAAAAAAATTTTTAACTTTAAAACGCCAATATAAAATTCTTATCTAATTGACTTACGGCTCGTTAGACTTTAAAAGTTTAATCTTATAAGGTTAATTTAAAAGTGTAGGTTCGAATTTTAAACATTTCTATGATATACATCCCTTATTTTATAATGCCCTAATGTTATCAAACTAAAAATCTGGTCTTTAAATGACCAGAGATAATTATAAATATATAAAGATAGCGAAATCCTTTCACGTGCGGTTTTGCTAAAGTAGCAAAACCGCACCTTATATTTATAGTTTTTACTAAAAAAACAGAAAATTTTTATGCAAAGATCCTGTGATTTTCAATTACTTGTAATCATATAAATGAAACTCATAAGGTTTTTAGATCGAAGCTATTAAATTCAAAGCTATTAAATTTAAAGAAATTTAAAATAAAATAAAATTTTATGTTTTTATTTTATTTTTATTGCTTAAATTTTCATTTCAAAATGGAAGCAAACTTATTACCTAATTTTAGTACTAAAAATAACACATCCAATAATAATGACATAAATATGATTAAAGCTTTTCTAATAAACAAAAATATACTTTTAGAAAACAACCCTGAATCTAACATTAGCTTTTATGAGGATGGGGAAGGAATGGAAAATATAAGCACTTATTACTGCTTCAACACTGACTGCTAACACTAGATGATAATGCACTATCCACCCTGCATCTTCAGGAGTATACAAAAACTTTTGATAAACGTTTTATTTAGCGTCAAAATAAATTATATGGCTAACAGAAACATGGTGTTGGAATAAAGAAAATTGAAAAAACCCTAACTTTCAAATTAGTAATTATAAAGTTATTCAACAAATAAGAGGATCAAAAAAGCAGTAGGAGGCGTATGGATTTTCATACACAATTCTTTAGATTTTAAACTTCGTAATGATTTTTGCTCAATACAGGGGCGAGTTTTATCACTCACCAAAGAGGGGGTGGGCTAATTAAAGTTCAAAAACTTACTTAGCCGTATTTTATCTATAACATTTTAATTCACATAAAGGGTCGTGTTTAAATTTAATTAAGTTCAAATATTAGAGACATCAAAAATTTCAGCTGATTAATAAAAGTGTTGAAGTGCTATACATTTACAAATTTTAAAACTAGAGCTGCCAAACTGATCCGTACTGCTCGTAAAGCATTTCACAAACAAGGTTGCAATGAAACCGGTGTGGCAGGATATTTCAATTCTTTTCTTATTAGAAAAGACGATGACAATTATTTTTCAGATCTATGCAAAGACGCTTCTAACACCTGTAATCAAACACCTCTATTCAACCTTAGAGATGTCATCATACACCCTAGAGATATCAGATGTCATCATACACCCTAGAGACACCAGATATCATCATACACCCTAGAGATATCAGATATCATCATATAAATGATGGTTATCAGAAAAAATAAACGATGCAATGGTATTCTTATTTACTTGACCACAAACTTGCGATTCATTATCAGGCCTAACACGAGTATTTCGGATGGCGATAAAGAGGTTTTAACAATCGAATTACAACCAAAAATAATAAAATAATACTTTTGAGTTCTTGTTATTGCCCACCTTCAGGCGTAATTGAACAACTTAATAATTTTTTAATTACTGGTATAATAAGAAAATTTAGATTGTTTTAAATATTTCACAAATAAAAATATTAAAAAGTTTTTTAATGACTTTTTTGAAAATGGAACTAATCCTTTAATAAATAAACCAACGAGGGTAACTGCAACATCGGCTTCGCTAACAAACCAAATCATAACAACTGATGCATCTAATAAATTACTAAAATCAGGAATAATTAAAAGTGATACATCAGATAATTTTATATTTTTTTCTCTATAAATGTTAATGCAGATTCAGTATTACATAAAAAACAGGTTGTTATCAAACGCTTTAATAACGATAGAAATTTTTTATAATTTAAGGAACAATCATCCTTATTTAACTGGAACCCAATCAGTAAGTTTTCAGAAGCAAATGATATGTATAATGCATTTTTTAAAGCTTATTATGAAGTTTATGATGTAAACTTCCCAAAATGTCAAATTTATAAAACAAACAAAAGTTTAAAATCATCATGGGTAACAAAGGGTCTTAGAAAATCCTCAAAACTAAAACAAAAACTATATATTGAATACCTTAAAACAAAAGCAATTGAAAGCAAAACATTCTATAAAACCTTTACCAAACTATTTGAAAATCAAAGAAAGAACCTTAAAAGAAAATAATACAGCGAATTGTTTGATAAATTCTAAAAAGAATTTAATTTATAAACACTAAAAAGAAAATGGCAACTCATTAATGAAATCATTTAAACAATAAAATAAAAACATGCTCTTTGCCAAAGGCAATTAAAATAGCTACTGAGTTTTTCTATAACGCTAACATAATAGCAAAACGAAATAAACAAGTTCTTTGTATCAGTTGGACCGAATTTGGTCAAAAACATCCCTAAAATGAGTATTTTAATCAACTCAAAAAAAGATTTGATTTCCCCCTGAAATATCTTCTCTAAATGAATTTGAAGTAACTTGCCATTATTTATGCATTTATAATAAGGAGTGCTTGTAAATTTACTTTTTTTTTCTTTCATCTTCACTAAGTAATGCCTGTATTCCCTATGATATCATTCAAAACATTTTAAACTAATTTCCGAGGAGTCGCTAATTGGAAATTAGTTTAAGACATTTTAAACTAATTTCCGATGAGTCGCTACTCGGAAATTAGACATCCATGGACATCCTGTGCCTATTGGGTTTTGATGAATTTGAGATGATATAACTTTGATGATTTCAAAATGCTTGAGTCTAACAAAGTATTTTGGTCCAGACGATGTATATCAATCAACCAAGCAGTATTTCCTGAACAACTCAAAATAGCTAGAGTTACCCCAATTTTTAAGGAGGCGACCCTACTAACCTCAGTCATTATCGTCCAATTTTAGTTCTCGCAGTTTTTTTAAAAATTCTAGTAAGAATGTTGTGTAAAAAAAACTATAATCACTTATCAGAAAACAAAATATTATATATAAACCAATATGGATTTAAAAAAATAATTCTGCTGAACATGCAATACTTCAACTAATAAGAAATATTGCTGATTCATTTGAAACATTGGAATACACATTAGGTATTTTCAAAGTTTTCGATACTATAGATCATGAAATTCTTTATAACAAATTAGAACCTTATGGAATCCCTGGAAATACTTTATTATTACTAAAAAATTATTTAACTAATCGTAAACAGTTTATTCAAATAGGCTCGTCATTATCATCAAACCTATTAGATATAACTTGTGGAGTGCCACGAGGTTCAATACTAGGCCCTTTACTTTCCCTAATATATATCAATGATTTCTACAAAGTCTCGAACCTAATGGCAATTATGTTTGCCAATGATACTAATCTTTTTTTAACAAGCAATGACCTTACAACATTATTTAGCAATATGAACATTGGGCTTATTAAAATTTCTAACTGATTTAAATCAAACAAACTATCGATTAATATAGAATGAAACTAAATGGATGTTTTCCTAACCAACTTCAAAAAAAAAATTAAGTCCAAGTATTATGCTTCTTATTTTTGTTGACAATATTGATATAAAGCGAACAAAAATTACAAAATTTTTAGGCATTTATATTGATGAAAATCTTAAATGAAAAATTCACGTTAATAATCTAAATAACAAAATTGCTAGAACTATAGGAATATTATACAAATCAGGAAGTTTTTTAAACAAACATACTTTAGTTCATTAATATTACTCATTTATTCATTGCCATATTAACTACTCTAATATTGCTTGGGTTTGTGTCAATAAAGGTATACTAGAACCTCTTAATCGTCAACTGAAACACATTGCACGTCTAATAAACTTTTAAGATTGTTTTACTCATGCCAGGCCTCTGTTACTTGAAATGAATATTTTAAATATATATTAGCTTAACGTATATAATGTTTTATGCATAAATGTAAAACCAACGTTTCCCCTTCTTATTTTCATATCCTGTAATCACTAAAATAAAAAAACAAGTACTATCTACGAAATGATAATTTTATTAGACTACCATTTTTCCATACTAATTTTGATAAATCTTGTACTTCATCTCAAGGAGCCTTTCTTTGGAATAAAGTAGTTTTGAAATACTTTGACTTTTCTAATGAATGGAATTTTATCTCATTTAAAAGAAAACCTGAGAAAATCGTTATGCTTTTTTTAAAAAGTAAATGCCGTTACTTATCTTTGTAGACACTTGTACTAAATATTGATGCCATTTCACTCTTTCGTACCACAGAATGCCCAGACTAATAACGGTTTTAACTTATCAAATGTCAACAAAAAGAAAAGTAATGGCGCCTACTATTCTTTTACGCTAAGCTCTAAATTTTTTGAAATTGTCAGTGAACCAATTTTTCAAAAAATTTAGAACCGAAAACGCTAATCAAATACCTATGCTAAGCATACCTCATTTAGATAGTCGATATAAAATACAGCGGTCAAACGTCGGGCCAAACGTCATGTGTTTGTGATTTGGAATATTATTATGGGGCTCAATTAACATGTCATAATTTTTTAATACTAAATTTTAACTTAGCTTGTAAATTTTTAATAAATTTATTTCAGAATCTAAAAGTGATAACTAAGAATATTTCTAAAGTTTATCTCGAAACAAATGCTTTAAGTTTAGCGTAACTCAAAATGGCGTAAAGATTTATAATAAAGCATTTTTCAATAAAATATCTAAAAGCTATTTTAAATAGTTTTTTTAAATCTAATGTTCTTTCCGTAACATAAATCACAAAACAATTAACAGTTTTTACGTTGCATTTTCTGTGGCCTTTGATATCAATCTAACAAAAAACCTCATCGTGGTGCCCTACTCTTCCTTGATTGAAAGGGGTAAATTTTAGAAAAAAATAAAGATGCATTTGTAATACCGTAATTTTATGATATTTTCTAAATGATTGACGTGATTACATTTTCTATAATTCAAAATGTCACCGCGTATTTTATGTTTAAAAGATGCTTGGTAACATAATTTTAACGTTTTTTTGTTACCAAATAATATTGAGTTTGTGCCTTTCTTTAAGTTATGTAATAGCGTATTGGCTCAGTGGTTTCTAAAAATTTTTTTGTGCAAGTTCATTTTTTCTAATAGGTAAAAAATGTTTTAAATATTTAAAAACAATGCCTAAAACAAATAAATATTTCAACATTTAGTTTTTTTTTAAATTTTCTTTTCTTATTTTATTAAACTGTTTTCCATTCTGATGTTTATGAGTATTAGTTTATTAGTTTTTTATTTCGTCTTCTCACTTTTTATTTCTACTACAACTCGACAATAATTCTCTGTCTTCTTTTTCTACTTCTTTCATGGTTATGCTTTCTTTTTAAAAGAACTTTTTAGATGAATGTTTTTGAATAATTTAAAATATGCGAGATTAGACTCTTTAATAGTTAAAACATTGTCTCTTTATATTTATCAAGCTGTGATTAATTACAGATAAGTGGAGAACTACAAAAGAGATATCTACAATGGTAAAAACCTCATTTTTAATTTTTTTTTCGGTTTCTGCTGTACTGTTTGGTGGCGCTGCACTGGTTGCGGGTAAGTCTTAATCAAGTTTAATTAAATATAATTTTTAAACCAGCTGATAATAGTTACCTAATACAAATATTAAAATAATTCAACTCATAAAAATGTATTTTAACTACTCTGGATTACTGTGTATCCTCGTGATTTTTATTAATAATATGTTCAATCAAATTTGATCCACATTTATAGTTACAATATATTTTTTTTAACCTAATTTTATACATGGTTGGTATAATGTGTAATTAAACAATTTTTAATAACTTGCAGTTAGTGATGTAAATTTACCGGTAAATTTTGATACCAAATTTCCAGGGAATTTTTCCGGTAAATTTACCGGTAAATTTTAAATCTGAAAGGAAAAATGTGTCGAAATATGGGAATTATTTTTTTTTTTCAAAATAAATTGCATTAAAAATACTAAAGTAATTTATAAACCCATTCTATGTTTAAAAAAATAAATCAATTTATTCAAACTATATCTTACTATTTTTATTTATTTAAAATGAAAATAATATTATGCTTTTTAAATTTAAAAAAGTTATGTAGATTTTGAGAATAAGTATTTTTGATAAAAAAAGAAAAAACTTCACATTTTTAAAGTCATCATAAAAGGTTCTGATCAGCTTGTCTTTTTATCTAATAATTAATCTGATGCAGTTTTGAGTAGAGTAAAGGACCTTTTTTGCAAAAATAAAATTTCAAAAACATGTATGTATGTATGTATGTATGTATGTATGTATGTATGTATGTATGTATGTATGTATGTATGTATGTATGTATGTATGTATGTATGTATGTATGTATGTATGTATGTATGTATGTATGTATGTATGTATGTATAAATAAGAAATGTGTTTATGAATACATGTATAAAATATGTGGATGTAAGAATGACGTTGTCATTTAAAAACTGATCATACAATATCGTCAAAAATTCATTTTGATTATATTGTAAGAACAATTTTAAATCAAAAAATAATAATAGATGTGTGCATGTGTGTGTATGCGAATGTGTGTGTGTGCGTGTGTGTGTGTGTGTGTGTGAATAGGTTGCAATAAATAAGTCTTTTAGTGAGCAGCCCAATATTGCAAAATATCCAAGTTAACCGTTTTGAGAAAACAACAAAAAACTAAATTACTTTTCGTTGCGCATCAATAGAAATTGATATTTTTTGGGTTTTGAAGTGGGAAGCATATTTAGTACGGGTTTTGAAGTTGGAAGCACAGGTTTTAAAGTGGGAAGCATATTTAGCGGGAAGCAGTATTTGAAGTGGGAAGCATATTTAGCGGGAAGCAGTATTTGAAGTGGGAAGCATATTTAGCGGGAAGCAGTATTTGAAGTGGGAAGCATATTTAGCGGGAAGCAGTATTTGAAGTGGGAAGCATATTTAGCGGGAAGCAGTATTTGAAGTGGGAAGCATATTTAGCGGGAAGCAGTATTTGGGGGCGTCAATTTGTGAAAAAAGTCCTCTTTATCAAAATTTTTTTTGATATAGAGAAAAAAAAAAAAAAAAAGAAAGGTTTTTTAGAAAAAATATAGGGAGGGGAGGGGCACACACCCCCTGGCCCCAATGTCGTTTTTTTTTTATATTAAACGTTTTTTGAAAATGGGCTTCTTATGTAAAATTTTCTAACTTGATATTCTAATCTGGAGAAACAAGAATAAAGTTTTGGGATGTAGTTTATCAAAAGGACTATGGCATATTTTGGAATGTTCAATAGCAATTAAACTCGCTTTTTTTCCTTTAATAATATTTTTCTGGTGCAACATTCAACCGTGAACTTTGTTCATTTTCAGGATTTTATTCATTTAGGGCGTTTGAAAGCTTTTCTTATTTTTCTATTAAATCGAATCGACGATGAGAGTCTTACTGTAGGATTTTGGTTTGAAAGTTTGTAAAATGGCTGTATTTGAGGCTTTTTTTAAACTATATTCTGTTAAAATGCTTCCGCCATAACTGATATCAAAGAAAAATCTATGAGATCTAAATAAGGTAATAATGTAGAATTAGGTAAGACATCTCTTTAATATAGCAATACAAATCTTGAAGAGTGTCTATTTTGAATTTTAGTATGGGAATGTTTCTTTAAGTTGTTTACGGAATTAAAATTAAAAAATAACGTAAAGTTATTTTTTAATTTTAATTTTAGCAAATTTAGAGAAACTTTTAAACAGTCTTCTCTTAGAATTTTGATCTGTTTTGATTTATCCAATTTTTAAAGTTATAGAACGCAAGTTTCAATAATAGCAATAATGTCCAAATAAGGAATTTTTTTCCAAAGTGGAGCTAAATATGAATCTATATTGTTGTGCTTAGTTGTTGCTTTATCCAGAGAAACATTATTTGAATTAAGTATGGCATTTTTTTCTTTCATTTCAGCCGTTCTTCTAATTTTAATATAACCGTTACTTTTGAAATTGTTAGTTATCGTATTATTTAACTTATTATCGTTCAACTTTTCTGTCTAAAGATATATGTCAGGGCCCGTAACAACCTAGGGGGAGGGGGGAGGGTTAGCAAGGACATTTGCCCCCCAATAATTTTTCAAATAAATAAATTTGAGCAAATTGACTGAAAAATTGACTTAAAAGAAAAAAAAAGGGCTTTAAAACTATTTTGGGGTAGTACTGCCCCCCTCCCCATATATAATTTTTGTTTCTACTGGCATGTATGTCTAATGTATCAACTAATTTCTTACTTAAAATCCGTCACGTGCTTAAATCAATAATTTTTTTCTGTATCCAATCATTATACTTTTTGCTTTTTTTGTATGAAATGAAGTTATAATTTAAAACAGTTTTAAAGTTTCTATTTTCATGCACGTTTCAAAAAACACAAAATGGTTTTTTGAATACTATTCGTTATCTTTTATCCTAGTAACTTTGATATCGTTGTAAATAAATATGCCTTAAAGAGCAGTAATAAATCTTTAGAGTTAATCTATGTTTAAAAAGTTTGGGAATAGTATGAAAATGAATAAGGATTAAGGTAGTGCTAGGGAGGAATAGAGCCCCGGGCATTGCAGATTTGGGCACCCAGATTCAAAAAAAAAAAGAAGATATTTTTAAAAAGAAACTCTGAAAAAAAATCTTTGGTTAGGGGTCCCCTGTTTTAAAATAGCCCTGGGCCCAGAAAGCTAAACCCATATATATATATATATATATATATATATATATATATATATATATATATATATATATATATATATATATATATATATATATATATATATATATATATATATATATATATATATATATATATATATATATATATATATATATATATATATATATATATATATATATATATATATATATATATATATATATATATATATATATATATATATATATATATATATTGCTTATACATAGTAGTAATATTATTGATTGTTTACAGATGTTCCACAAACGGCCATAGCATGCGAAAGGGACGATCTTAAAATAGATTGCAAAGGCAAGGGAACTATTGAAATAATTGATGCAAACTACGGCAGGACAGCGTCAGGTATTTGCCCTGGTGCTAACAACATGAACACAAAATGTGATAACCAAAAAAAGTCACTTGAAGTTGTTTACAACAGCTGTTCATTCAAGTCTTCTTGTACAGTTAAAGCTGCTAATAGTGTGTTTGGTGATCCGTGTGTTGGAACATACAAATATCTTGAAGTAAAATATACTTGTAAGTGAAACCAAGAGATTTTTTATTTTATTATTAGAAGCGCTTCTTGTCCATTTCTTAACCGTAAAATATTTAAAAATTATATTATTTCACACATACTTTTATTTTAGCATCCCCATATCAAATGCAGCTCTTTAGCTAACATTTATTTTAATATTGATCTGTTAAAGTTTAAAACTGTTAATAAAAAAACAACTAAATCTCTTTACACACACAATTTACTCTTTACACACACAAAAACACACATATTTTTGGTTTACCTAAGAATGTACTGATATATATATATATATATATATATATATATATATATATATATATATATATATATATATATATATATATATATATATATATATTTATATATATATCAGTATATTCTTAGGTAAACCAAAAGTTTTACGAGCTTGTGAAGGTAGTGATCTGAACATTGATTGCAATGGTGAAGGAACAATTGAAGTTGTTTCTGCAAACTATGGAAGAACATCTTCAGAATTTTGTCCTGGAGCTCAAGACTCTAATATAAAATGTGATAACGAATTAGAATCATTTGACATTGTTCATAAAAGCTGTTCAAGTAAATCTTCATGCACTGTTAAAGCCTCTAACTCGGTGTTTGGTGATCCATGCGTCGGGACATATAAATATCTTGAAGTGCAATACACGTGTAAATAATTGATTTTTTAAAATACTATTTTTAAAATCAGAAAGACTTAGTTTTAATATACTTTTATTTTCATATAATAATGTTACAAAGGTTATTATAAAACTTGAATTAAAAACACAAATTAAATTATAAAAATATAATCAGATCATTAATTTAGTTGTTATTATTTATAATATGGAAAATATCATATGTTAATAAATGCTATATGAAATTGTAATATTTTTTTTATGTATTATATTATCATATAGTATTATTAAATGTTATAGTATAATAATTGTTACACTGTGTTAATCATAATAGGTAAACCATTTGTTACTCTTGCTTGCGAAGGAGACAATCTCAAAATTGACTGTAATGGACTAGGATTTATTGAAATTGTATATGCTAACTATGGAAGAACTATGTCATGTATATGTCCTGGTTCTAATGATTCTAACACAGAATGTAATAACGAAAAGAGTTCACTTGAAATTGTCCGCAATAGATGCTCTAATCAACCATCTTGTAATGTTAAAGCTTGCAACACAATATTTGGTGATCCATGCGTCGGAACGTATAAATTTCTGGAAGTGCAACATATTTGTAAACTAAGTTCTATTCTTATATTTAGTCATTCTCGGCATTTTAATTAATAATTCTTGCTTTAATTTTACTATTTTTTTTATTTCAAATATATATTTTATATTAACTGTATGTCATGCATATTTAATCAAAAATAACAGTTTATAATTATAACAGTTTAAACAAATAAAATCTTTAATGTTTACCCAAGAGCTTTTTTTTTAAGTAATGAATGACTGGTTTATTTTTGGAAAATATTTAGTCCACTATTGCTCTACACTTTCCTAAAAAATTTTATTTTACCTAATAAAAAAAGAAAACTGATAAATTTTTAGGTAAACATCAATCACAAGTTGCACGAGCATGTGAAGGAAATGATCTAAATATGGATTGCAAAGGTAAAGGAACTATTGAAGTAGTCAATGCAAACTACGGTAGAACAATGTCTGGTGTTTGTCCTGGTGCCAACGACATAAATACAAAATGTGATAACAAAAAAAAGTCACTCGATATTGTTCAAAACAGCTGTTCAGCTAAGTCGTCATGTATTGTGAAAGCTGCCAATGCAGTGTTTGGTGATCCATGTTATGGAACATACAAATATCTTGAAGTGGAGTATAATTGTAAATATTTTTTTTTTTTGCTTAACTGTTTCATATTTCAATAGTAATGAATTGTAACTGATAAATTATACTTTAATAAAATTTTTATCTAAATTAAATTGGCTCAGTATTTAACATAAGTTTTCTTTTGTATTTTGACAACTTGAAGGCAAACCACAGGTTGCAAGAGCATGTGAAGGCAATGACCTTATAATTGATTGTAACGGAAAAGGGACAGTTGAAGTGGTTTACGCAAACTATGGTAGAACATTAGCTGGTGTATGCCCTGGCGTTAATGACATAAACACGAAATGTATTAATCCAGAAAAATCAATCGATATTGTTCAGAACACTTGCTCAGCTAAGTCTTCTTGTATTATTAAAGCCAGCAATACTGTATTTGGTGATCCATGCGTAGGAACATATAAATATCTTGAAGTACAATATAACTGTATGTAATGAAGTTTAGCATTAATGATTTGTAACGAAATTAGACTTTAGTCTGAAAAATCTTCATATAAAGTAAACATATTACAAAATATTTATATTACAAACAATTCTTTATAGGTAAACCGCAAACTGTGCGTGCATGTGAAGGAAAAGATCTAAAAATAGATTGTGAAGGAAAAGGAGTGATAGATGTTATTAACGCAAACTACGGTAGGATTGTATCTGGTGTTTGTCCTGGTGCTAATGATATGAACACGAAATGTGAAAACCAAAAAAAATCACTAGAAGTTGTATATAACAGTTGTTCATCAAAATCAACTTGTGTTGTTAAGGCTGAAAATGCTGTGTTCGGTGACCCATGTTATGGAACTTATAAATACCTCGATGTGCAGTTTACTTGTGAGATATAATTTACATTCACTTATACGTGTTGTTTAATGTACTTTATATATATATATATATATATATATATATATATATATATATATATATATATATATATATATATATATATATATATATATATATATATATACATATATATATATATATATATATATATATATATATATATATATATATATATATATATATATATATATATATATATATATATATATATATATATATATACATATACATATATAGAAGGTATTATAAAGTTGTTAGTTACAAACAGGTAGACCACAAGTTGCACGAGCATGCGAAGGAAAAGAACTTAGAATTGATTGTAATGAAGATGAAACAATTGAAGTTATTAATGCAAACTATGGTCGAAATTTGGTAGGTATATGTCCAGGTTCTAATGATATGAACACAAAATGTAATCATCATAAAAAGTCCTATGATGTTGTTCAAAGCAGCTGTTCAACTAAATCTTCATGTACTGTTAAAGCTGAAAATGCAGTGTTTGGTGATCCATGTGTAGGAACGTATAAGTATCTCGAAGTACAGTATAATTGTAAGTCATAATAATTGTTATTGTAAAAGTCATTTCATCATAACATTGAAATTTCATCAAATTTATCTTATAAGTTGCAAAACATAAATTAAAGGAGTTTTTTTCAACAAGTTATTAAAAAATGTATGTTGTTATTTTAAGTGAAGTATTTAGGTCTTACAAAAAGTTATTAAGATTAGAAAGGTGTAATCTGAAAGATGTAATGACTTCTTTTGATATAACTTATTTAATCAATGATGCTTTAGTTTTTTCATAAATACTTATAAATTAAAAGATTGTTTATTTTTAAACAATTTTTGTAAAAATGGTTTTAATATTATCGTTTTTATTATAGGTAAACCAAAACCACAAGTTGCGCGAGCATGCGAAGGAAACGATTTAAAAATTGATTGTAATGGAAAAGGAACAATTAATGTAGTGAATGCAAACTATGGTAGAACTTTGGCTGGTGTTTGTCCTGGAGCTAACGACTCCAATACGAAGTGTGATAATCAAAAAAAATCAATCGAAATTGTTCAAAACAACTGTTCCTCCAAATCAAGTTGCATTGTTAAAGCTGCCAATTCATTGTTTGGCGATCCCTGCTATGGGACATACAAATATCTTGAAGTGCAATACACATGTAAATGATGTAAATTTATTTGGATATCTATTACATAATACCAAATTAAAACACTGCGTAAATTAAAGTCGGCAATTATTTTTTTAATTCGAAAAACAGTTTTTTTTTATAAAAAATTAATTATAAAGAAAATTTCACGGTTGTATTACCGTTTTAAGAGAAAATATAACCAATAGTGATAAGTTTTTATTTTTCTTAGCATTTCTTATTTTAGTTTTATTAACAATCAATAGATAACTAATACCCCGTTCATACTGACGATTGAACACGTTTTATTTTCAAAAGCGTGTTAGATTGTTATTGCAAAAACTGTATAAAACAACAATAAAACAATACTGCAAAGTTGTTTTGACAATATAAAAAGCTTGTTTTAATATAAAACAACTTTTATGCATAACTTGAAGTTTTTTTAATATAAAACAACTTCACCATGAATCATGGTGAAGTTGTTTTATATTGCTTCAATTTATGCAATTTTGCTGCATAACTTCAAATTGTTTTAATATAAAACAACTTTCACCATGAATAATGGTGAAGTTGTTTTAAATTAAAAAAAGCTTTTTATACTGATTTTCATACTGATGATAAAAGACGCTTTATTTTATATGTTTTGTAGTTTTGGTGTTAGAAACTTTATAAAACAGCAGTAGAACATCATGCCATGATGTTTTACTGCTGTTTTACGAAGAACACCAAAACTAAATAATAATGCGTCAATAAAGCGTCTTTTATCATCAGTATGAAAGAGGTATAAAAAATTTATTATTAAATTTTTTTTTTCATATTTTAATGGAAAATATGATTTAAGGCGTCCATTAAATTTTATGACTTAACTTCGAGGAGGGGTTTTAGATTTGCCAAAGGAAAACACAAGTGGAAAAGTAGAAAAAACACTTTAGAGACCTTGTTATTTAGAGGATCAAGTAACTTTTAAATATCATTTAATATTGATATAGAATATATATCAAAAAATATCAAAAAGTTGTAAAATGCATTAAATAAAAAACCGTAAATCCTGGCGCATAATTTAATTCATTTAATTCTGAAAAAGCAAATCTTGTATTAAGTATGACTTGAAGTAAGTAAGACTCGGAATAAGCTTGATTTGTACAAAAACTATTCAGAAGGAAAATTTTAATTTTGTGTCATTTAATTATTTCCTTTCACCATGGTCTTTGGTTTTTTTTTTGTTTTTTTTTTTTTAATATTCTTCAAATGCATGACTAGCGTCAAACAAGCCTATACAACGAATATTTTGAAATGAAATAATTAGACGCCAAGTTTAAAAAGTCTTTAAAAAAAGTAACTAAACCAAAATAAATAAAAGTAATTGTGAACTTAAGAATTTTAAGTATAGTGTATTTTTGTTTACAAAAAAACACTACATATTTTTTTAGTATAATCTACTTTGTAGTATAGGCTGGTTTGGCGCTTACCTTCCAAATATCGGGTTAACGTTCTTTAGGATGATTCAAAATAAGATTTTGAATGCTTTTTAATACGCAGACCTGGAAAGTTATTAATAGTATTTGAATTAGTATAGAAAGATATAGTATAGTTTTTAGTGTATAGTAGTTAGTAATTAGTATAGATATAATAGTAATTAGTATAGATATAAATAGTAATTAGTATAGAAAGATATAGTATAAAGAATTAGTATGGATAGATATTAATTTAGAAAGATTGTAAAGAAAGACTTCTTAAGTCTGCGTTTTATTAAAAAGTTTAAGTCATTGAATCATCCGAAAGAACGGTTAGCCAAATATCGTATAAACACCTAACTACGGATGAAACCTAATTTCAGACGGTTTTATTAAAAGCTTCGTATTTTATATTATATCGAATTTATAATTTTTTTTTCATGAACAAACTTCGATAAAAATGCATGATAAAAAAATCTAGCAATAAATTTTTTTTCTTGAAAAAATATTTAAAATCGTGTTAGCTTTCAACTTGACATCTAACAAAATTAAGTTAACAAAAGAATGAGAAAAAAACAATCTTAGTTTTGCAAATAAAAATGAAAATTATGTAAACACTTTTTTGTCCATATTTTACACTAATAAATATTATGCAAAAAAAAAAAAAATATCGCAATGTTGTTAATATTTCTTGGAATAAATTTAAAATAAGACAGAAACAAGCAAAAAATAAATGTACTTAATTCCGAATATAGGCAATTAATATTAATATTTTGCTTATATAAATGAAAACTATAAATAAAACAGTTAAAAAGCAGGGAAATATTTCAATCTACCAATTTTAATGTTGCTCAAAGATCAACTTACACTTTTAAACGATAAAAAAGAGAAAGGCAAAATAACTAAATGGACTGCCAATTATAATGTGACCTCAGCCAATGCTATAGCATTTGACAAAGCCGAAAAAGAATCTAAAAAACAAAAACAAGACAAATTAGCCAAAATTTAGAGAGCAAAAAAAATATTCAATTATGTCTCAATAAGAAAAAATTGAAAAAAAAAAAAAAAAAAAAAAACGAAAAAACGAACGATAAAAAAATTCAAGCAAGTCAGACATCTAAAACTAGCAAAAATAAACCAAAGATTCCCAAAGACTCAGTAAACATTGATCCGGTAGAAGAGCCTGTTCGTCTATTTTATTCTTGTGGTATTGATTGGGTTAGTAGCAATGGCTTAAATGAGAGCAGGGTGCTAGTTGATCTTGCGTCATTTATGTGATTGATTGTCATCGTACTGTGGAATTCACATGTATTTAATGACAATAGAGTACTTTTTACCATAACATGGTTTTAATTAATTAACGAAACTGTTATTTTACAAAGTATAAAAGCAGTTTCGTTAATTAATTTAATGAGTATAGATATGTTTTTATTTTATTTTGTATGCATCCGAAATTAGATTCATAGTAGCCTAGTTCCGGATAAAAAAACTTTTTATAAACATAAATTTTGAGAAATTTGAAATCAAAGTAATAATTTTTTTTATATCGTTCCGTTTGTCTTGTCGCTGCACATATTTTTATTTTTTTTTTATTTTTTGAAAGTCTTTATAAGTGAGTAATTTAATTTAAATTTTGAAACGTCCGCAATTTTGTTTATTCTATACTAAATTTAATATCCATTTTCTTGAAATTTTATATTTGATTTTACGCAAGCAATAGCTTAGACGGCATTTATAATAATAATAATATATATAATTTATAACAAATGCTTAAGCATTTGCAAACAGAGCAACTTAAGAAGCCCGCTATGATAAATGGCAATTCGTTTTGCTTTTAGTAAAAAGTTTTGGAAAAAATAAGTCTAGTTGAGTTTTAAAAGCGTTAAATAACGCAGCAGATATGATGGAGTTTGGAAGGATGTTCCAGTCTGGTACAATGCGATTACAGAAGAAGAAATCTCTTTGTAAACAGTTAGCTACTACTTGACGTTGAAGACGATGTCTTCAACGTCAAGCAGTGCCGTTAAGTCGGTTGTTAACAATAATACCAAGGTCACACTCGGAAGTGGTCTCACTAAGACTGTGGCAGTTACCGATGGGGTCAGTTATGGTAAACATTACGTGCGACTCAGACGAATTTTTAATAAATGCAGTGTTGAGGCGGTTGTTAACTCTCTCTTATCAAAGAACATGGCTTTTACTTGTCTTTAGTTATAACTCATGCTCTATGTGTGGACTCATCTAGGTGATCGATGTCCTCTTGGAGAGTCAGAGGTGTTTTTGATAACAGCTAATGGTTTTGTGTTGTTGGCAAAGAGTTTATAGTAGTGATTAGTAAGGCTTGTCATGTCGTTGATGAAGATATATAAGAGAAGGGGTCCTATTACAGAACATTGTGAAACTCCACTGAGGAAAATCAACCAATCAGAAATGTCACCTTGTACAGCTCTTTGCCTACGCCCACTTAGAAATGATACTATCTAGCCACATGTATTCGTTTCAAAGCCATACGCGTGTAGTTTGACAAGTAGAAGCGAATGACTAACCTTATTAAAGGCTTTAGCAAAATCAAGAAAGATAATTACAATTTCAAGACGAGATTCAAGCGCGTTAGATATAATGTCTTGATTAGATTTGTCATGCACAATCTGCGAAGAACAAAACCGTGTTGATTACTGTCAAGCAAATTATGGTCAGTCATATGCTTGAGCATGGAGTCACGAACTAAGCGTTGTATCATCAATATTTATTTGAACCCATATCTGCTTGCTTCCAGCTCAATTCAGAGTTTTGTCATTTTTGAATTCGAAAGTGTTGAGTGTGTTTTTTGTGCAGACAGCGACTCCTCCTCGGGAGGAAGTTTGCGAGAGGCAGAAAGTTATCAAGTAGTAGTAAGAGATTACCAATTCACAGACATTTTTTATTTTCAACCAAATTTTCAACCATAAATTAATATTAATATTGAGGTTAACATTGAACCATGTTGTATATAAATTATTTAGATAAGAAATAATTTTTTTATTTTAAAAAATTGATTTTTTAAAATAAGTGTTAAATTTTATTTCTTGTTATGAAATATTACGAAAAATTCTTAAAATGACGTCACGTGATTTTTTCCTGCTTATTATTTACACCCTAATTCATGCAAGTATTTTAGCAATTCAAGGTTGCCATTTTCAACAGCTTTTTCAAAAGCTTGGCCAAATTCAAATTCTGAAGCTCTGTACCCAAATTCATGCAAGTATTTTAGCAATTCAAGGTTGCCATTTTCAACAGCTATTTCAAAAGCTTGATCATATTCATAATTTGAAGCTCTATACAATAATTCATTAAAATAATTTAGCAATTCAAGGTTGTTATTTTTAACAGCTTTTTTAAAAGCATTATCAAATATATCTTCTGAAGCTCTATACCCTAATTCATTTAAAAACTTCAACATTTTAATGTTGTTATTTTTAGCAGCTATTTCAAAAGCATTATCTACACTTTGTTTTTTTGATTGGATTAAATATTTAATCAAGTCAATTTTTCTTATTTTTACAGCAAAATAAACTTTATTACCTTGTTTATACCCATATTTTTTTAGATAATCATTTAGATCATCATCAATCATACCATTTTTATCTTCATCATATTCATCATATTCATCATCACTCATGTTATCATCTTTATTAATCATTTCATTTTCATTATATTCATCATCAGTCATTTCAATATCATGAATATCAATTATATTTAATTTTTCTTCAACTAATCTTAAT